AATGATAATCGTGCTGGATACAGTATCCTTGGTTCAAGCCCTTCTGTTTCATTGCATTAAATATATGATGCCATTCTCTTCTAGCCTGTAAGGTTTCTGTTAAGAAGTCTGATGATAGCCTGATGGGTTTTTCATTGTAGGCGACCTTTTTTCTCTCTCTGGCTGTCTTTAATACTCTGTCTTTGTCCTTGATCTTTGCCATTTTAATTATTATGTGTCTTGGTGTTGTAGTCCTTGGGTCCCTTGTATTGGGAGTTCTGTGTGCTTCCATGGTCTGGGTGACTATTTCCTCCCCCACTGTGGGGAAGTTTTCAGCAATTATTTCTTCAAATACACTTTCTATCCCCTTTTCTCTCTCTTCTTCTTCTGGTACCCCTATAGTGCAGATATTGTTCTGTTTGGATTGGTCACACAGTTCTCAATATTCTTTCATTCCTGGAGATCCTTTTATCTCTCTCTGCCTCAGCCTCTCTGTATTCCTGTTCTCTGATTTCTATTTCATTAATGGCCTCTTGCACCTCATCCAGTCTACTCTTAAGTCTTTCCAGAGATTGTTTTATTTCTCTATTCTCCCTCCTAAGTTTATCCATTAGCTCTTGCATATTTCTCTGTAGCTCCATCAGCGTGGTTATGACCTTTATTTTGAATTCTTTTTCAGGAAGATTGGTTAGGTCTATCTCCCCAGGCTCCCTCTCAGGAGTTGTCTGGGTTATTCTTTACTGGATCAAATTCTTCTGCCTTTTCATGGTGATATAGGTAGTCGTGGGCAGTTGGTGTGTGTGTCAGCAGGGAGAACAAAGTCCCATCCTGCTTGCTGGTTGCCTTCCTCTCCTGTGAGAACGGCAACCCCTAGTGGCTTGTGCTGGGCAGCTGCACACCAACAGGGCCTCTGAGTCTGCTCCCCCAGTGGCTGCGGAGGAGGCTCTGGGTGGTTGCTATGGGCACAGATGCTCTCAGGCTGCTTCCCTGCTATGGCGGGTCTGTGCTGGAGGGGGAATGGACAGGAGGCTGTTTAACGCTGTGAGGGGCCTCAGTGCTGCGCTGCCTCCCAGGGTGTTAGGCCACCTGGATTTCCCTGGGATTCTCAGCTGCTGGGCTGAGTGTGCTGGGACGCTTCCATCCAGCTATGAGACCTGTGTCCCTTTAGTACTTTCAAAAAGCACTTGCTTTTTTTTTGTCCCAGGGGCACTGGCTGTGGGGACATGCTCGCAGATTTTACTGTTCCATTTCCCTAATAGCCAGCACCCACACGATGTGTGTTTGTGCTCCCGGTGCAGATGACTAGGGCTGGGCATTTAGCAGTCCTGGGCTCCCACTCCCTCCCTGCTCTGGCTCCTCTCCTTCCGCCTGTGGGCTGGGGTTGGGGAGCGCTCGGGTCCTGCTGGGCCATGGCTTGTATCTTACCCCCTTCATGATGTGTTGAGTTCTCGCAGCCTGGCTGTTGTGCTGTATCTTCTGGTCTCTTTTTTAGGAATAGTTGTATTTGTTGTATTTTCAAAAATATATATGGTTTTGGGAGGAGATTTCTGCTGCCCTACTCATGCTGCCATCTTGGCTCCTCCTCCCACTTTCCCATTTTTAAACCATACTTTTTAGAACTGTGACACCACCATCTCTTAATTTTTCCTCTGGGTTTAAATCTCAGCTCTGTGACCTTGACCAAGTCACCTAAGCTTCCTGAGCTTTAGTCTCCTTATTGGTAAGGTGAACACAATAATGTGTAGTTGCCATTGTCTTTTGGATTAAATAACATACATTAAGCCCCAGGCACAGTATCTGGCACATAGTGGGTGGTCATAAATGTTTCCTTTTGCTCTCTATCTCCAGCTCCTTCCTTTCTGCCTTCAATGCATAGGTCTTTCCCATCTTTGACTCTTAAATTTACTCCCTATGTAGATGTTGTCTTATGTACATGCCTCAGATAAGAAGGCAATTTGGTGTTTTTATAATAGGGTGGGCTTAATGTCAGTATTTCCAGTAACAGGCACAATTTTTTAGTTAAGACTTGTGGTTGTGAGATATATGTTTGAGTTACACAAAACTGAACGCTTGGATTTTTCTCTCACAGCTTCCCTTGGAGTGTTCTTATTGTGGATGAAGCTCACAGGTTGAAAAACCAAAGCTCCTTGCTGCATAAGACACTTTCAGAGGTAAACTCACAGGATAGTCTTAGTTTTTATGTTACAACCTTTAAGGAAAATATATAGCTTAGGCCTGTATAGAGTCAGTTAAGTTGAAAAGCTTTTTTTTTCAGTCAGATTTCTGCAGTTCTAAATAAACGTTTTGTGAGTGGCAAAAGTAGGGCTTAATATGACATAACTTCTTCTTCCACTTGTCTTTTACAAAGGAAATAATGTTACTAAAATCTGGCTATCAAATAGTAATACTCTACCTCAATAAAATACATTGTACATTTTGAAATGTTTCTACTCTTTTTGATCTTTTTCAAAGGAGAAATTTCTTTTAAAAAAAATCTGATTACATTTCTTCTGTCTTTCAATGGCAACATATCTGACATATTGTACCCTTCCCCCATTTACCTGTTTAAAAAATTGGACAATTCACATAGGCTATGAAGACACCCATTCATGCCATTGAATATCAGCACCAGTCTCAGTTCTTTGTCGTACTTTTGAGTATGACACCCTTGGTCTCTGGCATCATTGTAGAGAAATGTCACTGTAGCCCTAGATTTGCCCTCTTTTCTGAGTATCCAGTGGAAAACAGCTTGTGAATATGAAGTGCCCATCTCCTTGTTGACCTAGTAAAGGCTGGTTCATTCATGAGACCACATCTGCAAATTTATGTGGTCATCACTGAAGTTTGGTCCCTAACCCTATAATAATAAATCAGTTAATAAATTTAGAGGTCACTTGGGGAATTCTGTATTTACTGGCTGGAAGTTGCGGTTTTTAGTGTTTAAATGCAGATATGGTCTCTGTCTATTATTAGACCAGTCTCAAGATTGCATCCCCTTTTGGGGCCCCCTTTGCTCTGTGGTGTCCTCTGCCTTCTTTTAGGACTCTTAACAGTGTCTCTTTCCTAAGGAGTTGTTCTATCTTGGTGCCTAACCTTATAAGAGACTGCTTCATAAACTTACATGCCTGTGTACTAACTTATATGGGAGAAGAGAAGCAGCTGTAGTGAATAATCCTGGGTTTGGAGTGGGGAAAGTTCTGTTTCTGGACTCAGAGCCTTTCCTTGTTATTCATAGGAAACTAAGGCTTAGAGTGATTAAATGAGGGAATTTTTTGCATTAGCTAAGCATTCCCTTTTAGGTGAGGTTTGAATTGTAGGTAACTAGTTGGTTAAAAAGAAACACTCATTTATTGATTGGGCTGAGAGGTGGGGAGAAGGGTACTGCCTGCTTTTCCTTCTTAATATTGATTTCAGCTTGTTAAAATTAGAAACAACCTGAAGTGCAAAGAAATAATTGGTTATGCAATTTATGCTGCACCTATGCAGTACATTTAAAAAGAAGACCACCATGGAAAGTCTTGTAGAAGAATATTTCATAACATGGGAAATGTTTGCAAAATATTTTACACACAAAAAGTTTATAAAGTACTATATACAGACAGACATCATCTCTGGAGTTTTTCACCTAATTATGAGTTTTGATGCCAAAATGGACATTACTTTCAAGAAAAATATTAGCTCATGTGATAGTATAAGTTGACCGTAATGACTGACAACCATGGTGATCCTTGTGGCCTTATGTTGCTTGGTCATCGCAGCTCTTTGCTTGGTTAGCACATGTTGTAAAAATGTGAGTTGGCTATTGGAAGCATTTGTTTTTGACCATTTCCCATACTTGAAATACTATGAAAATACTGCCTTCCAAGCAGACAGGCATGGATGGTGGACATTGATTAGACAATTTAAAAAGAAATAAAAAATGGAGATGGCAAAAAAATAAAAAGATAACATTTCAAATCAGTTTTAATTGCATCTTATTACAAAAGCAGTATCTTCTTATGACTCCCATATCAAAATATAGAAACACAAGAAGAAAAGTAAAAATCACCAATGATCCAACTCCCCTGCATACATTAACATGTAGTGTATATTCAGCCATGTCCTTTGCTGTGCATGTGTACACTCAAGCATATAAATCTGCATACATAGTATTTAAAAAACATAGTCTAAATATCAAAATACAGTAATTATGTATGTATTTGTATACATATATGTATATACCTACTATATTTTGATATTTAAAATAATACACATATACAGGATATAGTCTTCCCTTTCTGCTATATTAACTCATATGTGTAAGTTCTTATTAGTGTCAGTGTAGAGGTTGCCCTTTGCTTGATGTAATAGCTTTTGTTACTGTTTTTCCTCACCTTTTACTTCATTAGTTTCTTTTTCTTGGTGCTCTCACCTGTTGCTCAACATAAAAAAATTTCTTTCTAGTTTGGATTGTATATGGCCCAGAAATGTCCAGAAGTCTTAATGTCTTCCATGTGGTGCACCATGAAGTTTTACAGAGGCCATTCTTTAGTATAGGTCTTCTGGCTTTTTGCTTGTAATGGTGGGTCCTAATGCTATAGCTTTGCACCTCTCAAACTTGCATGAGCATGTGCTGTGTGCCTCTGACACCTCAAGAGACTCCCCCATGTAGGTAATAACACATAGCTTGAATCCCCACCAAGACTGAGTAACAATACCCATGTAACACTTGAGAGTTTGCAAAGTGATTTTACTTAATCCTTGTTAACAGTATCTCCTTCACAGGATTATTGTTCCCTTCTTATAGCCGAAATTGAAGAGATATTATTTCCTACCTCTAACAGCTAGTATATAGCTTGAATCTGAGCCCTCTGATTTTGCATTCCCGTGGTCATTCCATTAAATCATGCCCCTCTTTGTATGGGTAAGGGTTGTGATGGGTAACTCAATTTTGTTTTCCAATATTATGGATTTTTTACTTTACTTACTTGTGTATTTGAGTTCTCAGTAGCCTTCAGTCTCCTGTTGACTGGAACTCCCATCCAGAACAGCCTCCAAGAGCTCTACTCCCTCCTCAGTTTTGTGGAGCCTGATCTCTTTTCCAAGGAGCAGGTAGAAGACTTTGTTCAGCGTTACCAGGATATTGAGAAAGAGTCTGAATCAGGCAAGTTCCCTTTCTACAAATCTTGCCCAAGACGTCTGGCCCAGAAACTGCCCTAGTGCATAATAGGAAGTGGTCATGGATGGAAAAGAGGGAGAAGGAACAACGAGAGGACGCGGTCCCGGGAGACAGATAAAGAGCCACACAAAAATAAGATGATGTTACATCCTTCGTGTTCCCAGTTGTCTGCTAATTATGAGTCTTATTTCTTTGTTACATGATTTTACAATAGGGCTTATTTGGGTCATTTTTGGAAGAAATCATGCTTTTTTTCCCAATGTGTAATTTCTATAAGGACTTTATTGCCTGAGGAAGTAGCATAGAAAGTTAAAGTATGGGGGTGCTGTGGCCCCAAACTACTGTTCAGTATTCCATAGCACTGGTATTTCTTTTAACACTGTATCAAAACCAAAAGCCTGGGATGGATGGGTGGTGGGAGTGAAGGAGGGGAATCTTCCTCATTCACATAGCTGGGACATGGTTTATTAATTTTTTTGTTATTTATCTGAGATCCAAACTTAACTGGGCTCTTGTATTTTTATTTGCTGTATCTGGCAACCCTACATATGGTATAATTCCAATTTAGGATAGTTTTCAACATTCATGACACCTGGGGAAGGAGCAAGGGAGCTGAGTCAAAAGAGCTAAGTGTGAGTAACAGTGACATTAGCGTCCAGCTGTGTGACTTTGGATAAGGTGTGCTTAATGTCTCTGAGCCTCACTTAGCTATCAAAATGGGGACAATATTACTTGCCCTACATTTCTAAGCTGTTATGCTGATCAATAGGATTAAATGCAGAAGTGTCCTTAAAACAGAAAAGCTCCATATAAATTATTAGCAAGAATTAATTACTAGATTATTAGTAAGATTATTAGTAAGGCTTAAATTCTTTGAATGTTCCTAGTTCTTGATTTAAGAGTCAGTAAAAATTTTAGAAGAGGTTGGGAAGAAGACTCCAGTAAAGGAAGAAATATGAAAAATAACCATGCTGGCCTAGAATGTGGAATTGGCAAGACAGTGAGAAACAAAAATAAATTACTGTATGTTGTCTAGTGGTTCCAAAGACTTGGTTTTGCTTTTGTGTCACACCGCTGGAGTTTTTTTCTTTTCCTCACACAGCAAGTGAACTACACAAACTCTTGCAGCCATTTCTGTTGAGGCGAGTGAAAGCTGAGGTAGCCACAGAGCTTCCCAAGAAGACGGAGGTAGTGATATACCATGGCATGTCAGCACTGCAGAAAAAATACTACAGGGCCGTCCTGATGAAAAACCTAGGTGAGCAGAGGCATGTGTCCATTTAGAAACTAAATGAGAATGTGATTTTCATGCAGGGAAATATCTTAACATCACACTTGGCTTTGCATAGCAAGAACATGGGCTGGAATTTTGTATTCTGAATAATATGCCGGTAGCTGCAGTGCACTGGGGCAGATATCTGTAGTGGAACTCAGACTTTATTGTTTGTTGCACTTGTGAAATTTCTTTTTTCCCCCACCCAGTTTTCCTTCTTGTCTAGCAGTTGTGAAGCAGACACTTTCAGGTATAGTCATGCACTTTATCTTCCTGCCTAGTCAGATATTTAACACATTGCAAAGCTTTTTATTGAACCAATTCACTGAGAGTAATTGGGAGTGGGAAGGAAGAGATAGAAATGGGACAGTCTCCCAATTTGCATTATTTTGTCCCTTTTTGGCTCTGTGACACCTTTTAAAGAAGGAAATTTAGAATTTTGTAAAAGTAACAAAGTACTCTTGAGTTTATAGGTAGGCTTCTTCCTCAAAACAAAGTGAAAGTTAAGAAAACTTCGTATGGATGTGCAGTTATTTCTTAATGAAATTTAGCCAAATTTGGGAGGTTAATGTAAGTTTGAAAGATATATTGTTGAAATGAATAAGATTATTTATGGGAACTTAGAGGGTTTTATTCAGTAATCCATATCTCTGTCTCTTTTAAAAAAAATTTCAGATGCATTTGAAAATGAAGTGGCAAAGAAAGTTAAACTTCAGAACATCTTGTCTCAGCTTCGAAAGTGTGTGGATCACCCATATTTGTTTGATGGTGAGGCAGTGCCCTTTTTTCTCACATTACTTTTTGATATTTCTGTGGCCAACATCATAACAAAATGCTGTAAAAAAATTACCTATATTTACTGTCTATTTTTCCCCCATTTTCTAGTTAATTTTTTATGTTGATGTTGTTAGGCAGAAAGATATGAATGGAATGCAAAGAGGGTGGGGCCCACTGAGAACTCAGGGAGAGTTAATCAGGTAAAGCCAGAGAGCCACAAAGGACTCACAGAGTTCATGCCCTTTGCAGTGAGTTCATTCCAAGTGCTCTGAATCTGGGCTGGCCTTGAGACTTGCTCTAGCTAATACAAGTGAGGTAGGGCAGAGACATGGGACAAACATTTTGATTAATTTTCCTAAAAAGGCTGAAATGTGAATAGCATAGTGGGCACAAGAAGGACTTATCTTGAGGCTAAGAGCAGAGAGTTGGGAAGTTAGATTCCTAACATATTCTTTGATGATCAGCCAACAACCCATCTAAGGCAAGGCAAACAGTCTTAACTGATGTGTTCCCAGGGCTTGGAAGTGGCCACTATTTTAGAGAGGAACAAAAAGTTTATTCTACAGAATTACTAAAGGACCGGCTACAGATAATGACATACTGTCTTTCGCCAGGGATAGACATCCTGGGACTGCCTGACAAGCCTGTGCCCCCAACCCTTTACCTTTATCCCATTCTTGAAAATCCATAAAAGACAGAATCCCAGCTTTTGGGTGTGCCTCCTCTCTGAGGCCACCCACACTCGCCTTTCTTGGAGTGTGTCTCTCTGTCCTACTCCAGACAAGTAGGGAGGGGCTGCTGAGAGCTGTGATCTGGGCTTACAGGTTCCCAGCACCTGGGTGACCTGGACAGAACAGCAGCTGTACGGTCATGCTCCATAGCAGCCCACCTGAAAATCTCCTTTCTTTGCCTTTGGGAAGTTCTCAGAGCATAATCTCACTCCATCCAGTGCTCTGTGGTTCCCCCAAATCCTGAGGTGGTGGGGCTTAATCCCCACGCCATGAGATCCAAGGGGACACTGGATGCCAGGTGACACTGGCTTTAGGAGTTGGCGAGGGATTGTGCCCCATGCTGAGGAATTTGGTGAGCTTCCCTTTCCTCATCTGTTTTTCCTTCCTCTCTGCTTCATTCAGGTAAACCTGCCTTCATCTGCCATGACTCTGGCCCAGTCCTCCTCTGGAGTGTATTCGAATAAAACTTTCATTCTGCTTCACTTCTGTGCCTCTGCCCTTCAAGTCTTTGTTGCAGTGGGGACAGGAACCGAGGAGACCAAACTCAAACCCCCAACAATGTTATCTAATATATTGTTTATATTCAAATTTCTTCATTTGTCCCCTTATGTCCCTTATGGCTTTGTTTTTTGTTTTCTTTTAAAATTCAAGATAAAGTTAGGGATTCTACTTTGTATTTGTCAAATCTCTTTATTCTCCTATAATTAGGAAACATTCCTCACCCTTTTGTGGGGAGGGCTTTCTTTGCCTTTTATGAAAGTAACACTTTTGAAGAATCAAGGCCGATTATTTTATAGTTTGTTTCATAATCTGGGCATACTGGTCATTTCTTAATGATGAGATGTCTCGTTGTGAACCCACTCAAGTCAGCCTTTCATCTCCACCATTCCACGTTCACCAGTGATCTCTAATGGTTGTCATTTCACATTTTGATTAACCTCTCAAAGCCTTTGACACAGTTAACCTTTTTTCTTGAAGCACTTCTTCCTTTGGCTTCTGGGCAGTCCTCCATCTTACTACCTGCCTTATGTCTATTCCTTCTCAGCCTCCTTTGCTACTTCCTTTTCAAGTTACAGATGCCTGCAGATTTCCCTGTAAGTGCCGCACATTTCCATATGTAATGCTTTCATTTTCATTCAAACTTGGGCTTTTTTGATTCATTCTGATTGGTATCCTTTGGGATACTTCCAGGGCTTTGTGGTTGTGGAGCTTCTGGTAGTGGAAGGATCAGCACAGGGTTTGCTGCAGTCGTTTTAAGGGAGTCTTTGCCAAGTGGCACCATGAATTGTTTAAAGTGTCACAGACTCTTAATTAGGTGCACATAAGAACCTTCTTTGAAGGGAAGGGGGCATTGGGAACATGTTAGATCTTGAAAGAAGCTCTCTGGATTATTCTGCCTGCTACTAGTTTATGAATCTAAGCCTGTTTCTTGATTTTTTTTCTAGAGTGAGAGCCTCAAGATTTGAATTTTGGGTCTCTTTGGCCTTTAGTATTGCTCCTTGAGCCTCAGTTTCCTTGTTCTTTGGAGAAACATTTATTAGGCTTATTGGGTGTGTCAGGTTCTGTGATTGATGTTGAGCAGCACAGAGGTCATCACACAAATAAGGAATTATAAAACGCCTGAGAGAGAGATGAGATGTAGGCCTGTTAACAATAGGAGGAGCGTGGCCTAGCCACGGGCTTCTCCGCTTGGGCTCTTTCCTGATGGGGACATTACTGGGAGTGGGATCTTTCTTTTCAGGTGTGGAACCAGAGCCTTTTGAAATTGGAGACCACCTGATTGAGGCCAGTGGGAAACTTTACCTACTGGATAAGCTGCTGGCATTCCTGTATTCTAGGTTGGTGGTCACTTCACATTTCCTACTCTAAGCTGATGATTGTGAAAACTAGAGTAATGAGCAACTCACTGATTTCTGAGACTTAATTCCAGTTTTACTTTTTTCAAAATCGTGATTCAGGTTGCACCTGCTCTGCAACTACACTTCCACATCATCACATCTCATCCCATCCCCTCCATAATCATCCTTTCCTTCCTTGAATTCCTACAGCACCTAGGATCCTAATTCAGCACTTGGCAGGGCCCTGCCTTAGTCTGCTCTCTGCTTAATTGGTGCATGTTAACCATATCACTCCAGCTAAATTGTCTAGTTCCACAAGGACAGAGATAACATCTGGCATTTCTCTTACAATTGCTTACTTATACCTTGTATTGAATTGGCACATAATAAGGGATTAGTAAATACTCCCTTTGGTTAACTTGTGGTGTTTGGTTTAAACTCAGGGGGAGCTTGGGGAACTCTTTCCCAGAGACATGAATTGGGCATCAGAAGACCAAGTCAGTTCTGGAGTTTCTGAAGGTTCAGCTGAGTGTTCAGTGGCTTGTACTCCAGAGGGTCAGAGGAGACTAGAAAAAGCCCAGCTTCTCAACGATTTCAAAGTTGTCACTTTGGGACAACTGCCCCAAGTGGGCCTAAACCAAACTAAAACCTCAGATTTGGCAAAACTGCCAAACATTAGGAATGTGCAAGTCAAATAATTGTATGTCTTACTATATTTTATTTGCTCTGCTGTATGTTAGATTGAAGAAGAACCCACAAATATCTCTGCCTAACCTTGTCATTTCACAGGTGATAAAACAGGCTCAGAAAGGTAGTGCGACTTGTCTAAGGTCACACAGCCAGAAAATGACAGAGATGGGATTAGAATTGAGGTCCTTGAAAGTTCAGTGCCTTTTCCACCTGCTTGGGGCTAGAATCTTGAAGGAGTTTTTCATACTTGTTTCTCTTGTACCCTTTGCAAGCTCAGATTAAATTAGTTTTCCTAATGATAGTTTTGCTAGTGTTGTACTTCGTTTATACAAACCTAAAATAATGGCTGATAACATGGGGCTGTAGGTTTGATTTTGTTCTTGACTTAATCCAGCTCCTCTCTCTGTATGTAAGTTTTCTTATGTCGAATATGAGATGCCACCTGTTCCTTGTTTCTCTAAAGTGATGGCACTCAGACTTTTCAACCAAAATAGATGTAGATGAGAGGATAGTGACTGTCCACCCCAGGTAGAGAACAGTTGTGGATGGCTGACCACAAGCTCTCAGGGGTTCCAGTTTGGGTTGTTTTTTCGTGTGTACATTTTAATTTTCACATATCTTTGTTTATTTGCTACTAAAATGAAAGTGTATATAGTTCTTCCATTTAGTAAATTGAAATTTCAGAAAGAGGTGCCTTGGTTACCCTAGGGCTTCCTGTACTGCCTGGTGCATTGACACATGCTCCTGGGAACATCCCCACTTCAGTTTGAGAACTATAGCTCTGAAGGTTCCAGCTACTGTGGAGCTGTATCATTATATAAAGTACTTGGCATTTCTGAGGCAATCTCTGTAAGTGACTGATACTACGTTTCTTCTTCAGTATTTCATTTATTTATAAACTTGTATTCCTTGGTAAGTTTCATCTGAGGGATATTCATCTTTATTACTATTAGAGTTGGCATGTTTTCCTTTTCTTTTTCTTGCTAGGGGCCATCGAGTTTTGCTTTTCTCCCAAATGACTCAGATGTTGGACATTCTCCAGGACTACATGGACTACAGAGGTGACGTCCACTGGCCATGACATTGCCCAAACCTGTTTTAGGCTTGCAGTCCAGTAGGTCCACAGAGAGTAACCTTGGGTGTGGGGGTGTTACAGAGGAAAGCAGGGAAAGGACGTTATTCAGAACCAAAGGAGGATTGAAAGTAAGGAGAGTGTGTAACACAAGGATTGACTGTAGGGTAGAGATACATGGGCACAAATAAACACACGTTTCCATCAGTGAGGCGATTTAAAATGATGGGTACTAAAGAAAATGGGGGTTGCAGAAATGTTGAGTGTTTTGAAAATATATGATAAACAGTTTCATTGACGAGAGCTTTCAGTGTTTTGTAACATTCAACTCAGCAGTTGAGTACTTGTTCAAGATTAGAAAAGATGAATATTGAAGTTGTAGAGATCCCACATGTCAGCGAAGGGAAAGAAAAAAGCCCTTTTTTCTATATAGACAATAGGGAATGTATGTTATTATCTGGGGATTGTGTTTAATATAAAATAAAATGTATGTGGGATGATGGGAAAAGGCTGTAGCACTGGTTGATCTTGAGATCAGTGAAAAAGTACCAGCTCCAGAGTGGGTCTGTCAGGGCCAATTGATGGCCCCCCAATTACCACAGCATACCTGGTTCATTGGGCACTTGCAGGAGATGCCATTGACACATTGGGGAATCCCCAGATTCACAAACATGGCTTGAGCATGTAATTCCTTTCTCGAGATGGGTCTGTGGTGACAGGTGGAGAACCCTGAAGCTTTGTTGAAAGGCCACAGCTGGGCTGCTGGGCTGCTGGGCAGGCTCATGTACCAGCTCCTAAGTGCTCTTCCTGCCTGCTTAAGTGAGAATCATGTCTTAGCAAGATTAGGAACTACTACACAGCATGGCCCACAGTATGCCTCAGGTTTGCTTGGGAAAGTCAGAATTGAGAATTAACTCTACAAATGCCAGGTACATCAATTGCATGTGTTATTTTAAATGTCCAGAGGAGTGTATTTGTTAATGGTGAGTTCTTTTGTAAAACAATGAAATGTCCCCTAAATTTAGAGGTTTTTTTCCCATAAGATTTGCTTAAAGTAGGGACATGCCTGTATACAGAAAGGGACAAAATTAGCTTTTGAGCTGACAATATTTTCTTTCCAAAGAGTGCTTGAAATGGTTAATATTTCTGTTTTTTTCCTCTGTGTGAAGGCTACAGCTATGAGCGTGTGGATGGTTCTGTGAGAGGAGAAGAGAGACACTTGGCCATTAAGCACTTTGGACAGCAGCCCATTTTTATTTTTCTCCTGAGTACAAGGGCAGGTAGGCCACACAGGCATTGACAAAAGCAGACAAATAGGAGAATTGAGGTAGTTGATATAAGTTTATCAAGGCACTGGGCTTCTAGCATGATGTTATTTTCTGTCCAGCCAATCTGAGCTGTCATCTCATCAAAGAAGTAAGACTGAAACCTGAGGTTGTTGGAAATAATTCTCATCTGCTTTGAGCATTGACCTGGGATTATCCTGTTATTTCGTGATACATTTTATTCACATTGACTAGAGGCAGCTCTTTTTTTGAGACATGAGTTTGGGAAATGAGCTAACAACCTGTCTGCTAGTTATCCCTTCTCCATAAGGAGCTCTGGAATAGTGTTGTAAAAGCTTAATAAAAATCCAGTTTTTAAGAAATTGCTATTATAATGAAATTGTCAGCTCTTGGAGTTATTTATAACTTTATGACTTAGGTCCTGAATATTATATATGACATTTGTAGTTCAGTTGTTACAGAGGGCTTTCATATACTCCTAAATCATTTGAAATGAGTCCTTAGAGATGAAATTCTTATATCATGGAGCAAGCAGACCTTAAATTAGTTTGGAACTCAAAAAATCTTAGTTTTACTATCTTATTTTTCATAGACCTAAATCTTGATGGAATAGATACAGGGACATTAAATGGATGTGTGTCCTCTATTGAAGAGAGGTTAATGTCTTTATAAAAAGGGAGTTCAGTCTAATTTAGAAAGCATTTATTAAATTCTTGATATTATAATGGTATACAAAAGAAAGGTTGATATAATTCTTGACCATAAGATGATTGTTTCATCTGTTTATGTCTTATCTCTGTATTACAGTGATCTAGAGATGGTACTCCAAATCTCAGCCATATATTCATGCTATCAGTTGTCTTAGGGATAATCTTAGGAAAAACTGGAAGGATCAGGGTAAATGCATCTTAGATGTTGGGAAAACAGCTCTATTTATGCTTTACTGATTTCATCACCTTCATATTCAGAGTAGCATTATTTTTGAAATGTCAAATTAGGAAGCAAGAAATCTCTGCTTTTCAATTTACCTTGGAGAACTCAGAATCAGTCAAAACAGGGTAATCTTTTAGGTGCCAAAGCAGTCCTAGACATGAGCTTTTTTCCAAACACTAACTGTCATGTTTGCTATCACTTTTTAGCTGTAGATTTTCAGTATTACCATTTAACAGATTTCCCTCCATCTTTAAAATATTTCTGTGACTGAGTCATATTGCCACCAGGTGGCAGTAATAGCTCATGAACATGTCCCAAGCAGGCATGGATATAGCTTATTTATAAAATACCACCCTTTAATGAAGAGCTGAACTTAAGCAACATTAACCCAAGAAGAAAAAGGTAATTGTTTTTTTTTTATGGCATACACTTCAATGAAATAAGTGCCTAGAGGACATTATGGTATAGTTGGTAAAAGCATAGGCCCTGGAGCCAGACCATGTGGAACTGAATCCAGGCCTTTTCACTTTCTAGTTGTGCAATCTTTGATAAGTTCCTTAACCTCTCTGTGCTTGCATTTCACCATTTATTAAAAAACTATTCATAGGTTTGTTTGATGATTAGAGGAGTCACCAATGTAAAGTGCTTAGAACAGTGCCTGGTAAGTAGTGAGCACAGCACAAAGAGGAGCTAGCATTATTAAAAGGCATAATTCAGTATCTCTCAGTAATCAGTCTTTTTTATTTCTTTATTCTGACTTTAATTTCATATGAAGGCTTTAATTAGAATGTCCCTGCTTGACTTGTCTTGAGATGCAGCTTAGAGTCAGTAGCTTGCCTCAAAAGTTAGTCCCTAATTCAGGCTCTTGGAACAAGCTTTTCAGGCTTGCTTGTTTCAGCAATGATCCGTAGCGACCGTGGCAAGAGGGAGTCCCTTTTGTACTTGTTTCCACATTAATCAAAGAGAAGGCTGTAATGTGCCTTCATGGTTTTCTTAATTAATTCTTATAGTCCAAGGAGCCTCCTCAGCTTTTTTCCTACAGTGCTGAAGAAAGACCAAAGGACTGTCCCACAGAGTGTTCATGTCCTGCAGTTGATTTGTTACCTTCTCTTTGATTAATGTGGGAACAAGTGCAGGAAAGATGACTCAAGTTTTGTCCAGTCAGAGGGAGGTAGTTTCCCGCTCCACTTGGGAGTATAAATGTCATCCGCTCATCTGAGGGATCTTGCTACCTAGTTGTAACTTGCAGTGGATGTTAAGAGCTCTGAGCAGCACCTACAGCAGAATATCTCTTGTATGTACAGCTCGGAAAGAGCATGTATCTTTTGTACAGACTACTGTAAACATACCAGTCAATATTTTTAAACAGAACAGATTTAGAATGGTTTCCTGGCACTAACTTAAATATCCCCTTCTGCTGCTTACCCCTGCTTTCCTCATTCTGTTGCTTTCAATAATTAAATTTTCCCAGGTCAGGCAATGTGAGTTCGGGTTTTACTTTTAACCACCAAAAGGTTCTGGAAGTGGGGGTGGGAGCATCAGTTTGAAGGATGAAGCCAGTTGTTCTGACTGATCTCGATTTGTCAGTCTGACCACCGTAGCCACGTCTTTGTTTTCTAGTCCTCAGTCTACACGCTGCTTATCACATTACTTTTTGCATTGTTTTCAGGTGGAGTTGGCATGAACTTAACAGCAGCAGATACCGTTATTTTTGTTGACAGTGATTTTAATCCTCAGAATGACTTGCAAGCAGCTGCCAGGGCTCACCGAATTGGCCAGAACAAGTGAGAGATTTAAGCATCAGCACTTGTCTACATCCTCGGCTCCTCAGTAGCTCTGGGTGAGGGAGGGAAAGGAGGAAGGTAAAGAGCACGGTCCTGGTGACAGTCTGGGATGGGAGAGCAAGAGACCACTAGGTTTTCGCCCAGCTTTGGGGTTGATTCCGAGAGCAGTGCTGGGCAGGGTACTCATTCCAGACTTGCTTTGTTAAAAAGAACAAAATCAAATGGTGAAACAACTAAAAGAAACCTTTAGAAGTTATTTGATTCATCCTTCTGAGTGGATATCTGACTCACTTAAAAAATGAAGGTAAGGGCTTGTGGAGCTATGCTAACAAGATAGGTCTTACCCTTTGACCTGAGAATAATTCAGATCTACCAGAGGTTTTCCTCTGCCACGGATAAGGAATCCCACTACAGCCACATCATCATTCCTTCCTTGACTCTTTTGGAAAGGTTTAGTGAGAACTTTGTGAGGCCAAATGTGTCTAACAAATGCTTAGGTCCACATGCTACAATCCCCTGTTAGATATACTCTGAACATGGCATTTTGGGTTTGTTTCCTTTTATGTGAACTGACCTTGCATACTTGTGCCATCTTTGCAAACCCTGCTAGGATACTCCTCTCCTTTGACTTCTGTACAGGTCTGTTAAAGTTATTCGGCTGATTGGCCGAGACACTGTGGAAGAAATAGTCTATAGGAAAGCAGCCTCCAAACTGCAGCTCACCAGCAGGATCACAGGAGGAGACCGTGTTACTCTGGGAGCTCAGAAACCTGCGGGCGATGCCGACCTCCAGGTATGAGACATTCTTCACTTCAGAGAAGTCATGATTTCTGATCAGTACTCTCTGTGGATGCCAAAGTAAGTGAAAAAAACTAACATTAATCACCCTCTCTCCCCAACTACACATTTGTTTCCTGGCTGAACATATCTACAAAAGTATCTATTACATGCAAGCAAGGAGCATATTAAAATTAATATGATATATAGAATAACAGGGATGGGCTTTGGATCCCTCTGAATTGATGCACATCACTTACTGGATTGGTAGCCTTGAGCAGATTGTCTTAGCCTCTTGGGTCAATTCTCTTTGCATTCCTAAAAATGAGGATGCCGCAAGTTTGCTTCAGAGAGCTGTTAAAGAGAATTAGATAAAATAAGAAACTCAGCATAATAAATGATGATCAATCCCATGCCTCCGTCCTAACCCCAGACCCTTTGATCAGTGATCATACTCAGAGGAGGGTAAAAAAACTTGGGAATTCAAAATTATGTCATAGGAAAAATGGATAAGAGAGCAGAGTTAATTGCTTGAAGAAGGGAATATTGGGTAGGAAACAAATGCTGGCTTGGAAGATTTTAGAGAAAGCTGGGGAGGAGGACTTAAAGTTATTCTGTAGTGGCTCTTGGGTTAAAATTAGAACCCATATAATATATCCCAGTTTTCTTCCATTTTGCCTCAGGATCATATTCACCCAAAACAGTTGGAGAGAATATTTCAGATAGTGTTTAGTATGCAGAAAGCACCCAGTAAATGTTCACCACCTCTGCCTCTCTCTGTTTTTGCTGTGTTCTCCCTACAGGGTCAGGAACTGTTCTCCTCTTTCAAGACACCGGGATCCTGTACCCTTTAGATTTAACAGACCATGACCACATGTGTTTTTTGCTGGGTTATTTTGTTATTCTGTAGTGGCTCTTGGGTTAAAATTAGAACCCATATAATATATCCCAGTTTTCTTCCATTTTGCCTCAGGATCATATTCACCCAAAACAGTTGGAGAGAATATTTCAGATAGTGTTTAGTATGCAGAAAGCACCCGTAAATGTTCACCACCTCTGCCTCTCTCTGTTTTTGCTGTGTTCTCCCTACAGGGTCAGGAACTGTTCTCCTCTTTCAAGACACCGGGATCCTGTACCCTTTAGATTTAACAGACCATGACCACATGTGTTTTTTGCTGGGTTATTTTTATTTTACAAAAATAAACCAACCTGCTTTCTTCTGGGACAAAGAGCATCGGGGCTGTTACCTTTGTTTCTGGCAACCGTAACTCATACAGTCTGTATGGGTGGGGAAGATACAAACCAGCCGCTGGAGCCAGAGTGTAACCTGGTAACCCTGAGCCTGGCAGGAAGTCTGACAGCCCTCTCAAGCAGCCAGTGGTCTGTGTCCCGCTGGTATTTAGCTCACAGAGTAGACTACCTAGAGATAATTTGCCTGGTTTCAAAGGACAAGTTATAAAATAGGAGCCATTTGTGAATCCACCATAGTCCAGAATCAGCACTTGAGGGAAGGGAAGAGAAGCAGGGTAATGCAGTGCCCAAGGAATATCCAAGAAGATTTGAACTGAGAAATGGCCTAGCAATCAGGCATTGTTAATGGTCTTTGCGAAGGTGATTTCCGTAGAGCATGGGGTAGGAAACCAAATTACTCTAGAAAAGAAGTCAGTAATGGCAAAGGCTCGTATAGCCTTCTCTTTCCCAGAAGTTTGTCAGTGAGAGAGGTGGGAAAATAGCTGACTGGATCTCTGACTTTTCATGTAGATGCTGAGAGTGCCTGTGAAAAAGATTCTGTGAGAAGTACTATAGATAATGCAGGCAATTAGTCTTCAAAAAAACCCAGAGGCTAATCAATTTTTTGTTTTGTTTTGGAGAATTGTCAAAGTCAACATCTCTGATCACTATTTATCATCTCTCCGCTTCCCCACAGCTCTGCTGGTGTCATCTGTCACTGGGAGAGAGTGACGGCTGCCTGTCAGGGAAGGGATGCGCCACTTAGCAAATCACTGAGATCCCAGTATTTGTTTTCATGATAACTAACTAGACATTTTTGTTTCTCCATTCAAGTTGAGTGAGATACTCAAATTTGGTTTGGATAAACTGCTTTCCTCTGAGGGGAGCACCATAGATGAAATAGACCTGGAGTCTATCCTGGGAGAAACAAAAGATGGCCAGTGGATCTCCAACACCTTGCCTACAGCAGAAGCGGGAAGCAGAGAGCAAGAGGAGGGCAGCAAGTTGGGGGTGAGACCAGAGCAGACGGCACAGCGCTCCGAGCGAGAACGTGAGAGTCAAGTCACCCTGGGAAGTCCTGGGTATTTGCTCTCTGGGACATCTTTTTCCTTCCCTGCCTGATTCCCATCTTGGACACACTGTTTCACGCTTATTTGGTCTAAGACTGGGAATTGTCTGGTTATTCCTTTGTAGCCAAAGTTTGAACCAGATTGATAATATTAATGCTATGGTAGTATCAATCTCAAGGACTCTAACTTGCACCCTTCCTCCCCTTATTGTAAGCATGTTTTTTTGTTTATTTGTGAATTTATCGTGCTCTCCATTCTTTTTTTGAATAGTAGAACTATGTGATTTTTAAATTACAGATGTGTATATACTGTGTCATGCATTTTATACCTATTTTTTCATTTACTCTTCACAATACCCCATGAAGTATAGGTACCATTTAAATTTTTTAGTGAAGCAGTGTATGTAAATCATGAAGTGATTTTGTCTTTCTCAAAAATTTTTTTTTTCTGATTTTGGTCAGTATTTCTTTTTTGTCTACTTGTGTTTTGAATATTTGAATTTCTTATTTGAAGATTTTTTTCACATGGCAGCTTTGTAAAGATGTTCCCTGATGTCTTGCGGTATTTTGAAATTACCATATTTTCCTGTCCCAGTAGAAGTGGGGAGTCAGTGTGGACTGGAATGGGAGGTTTGGGAGTATTACTAGGCTTATTTATTCAAGATGAGAGTATCTTGTGCCCCCGATACAGAGACATGCAGTTTCCTTACTAGATGGTGCCCCTTGCTTGGTTTCCATCACTTGCTTGCTTCTTTCCCTCTGCCCCAGAACTGCCAGGGGCTGTCTCTCCCCTGCAGAGTCAGCCTCCCCAAACTGAAGGCTGCTTGTACTTGCTAGTCCCTTCCTTACAATTCTTTAGCAGACACTGCTCTGAGCTGCTAGGTCTCAGATCTGTCCTTATTATTTTCCCATTGGGGGTATGACCTCCTTTTGGGGAGATAAATTCTGTCTGACACTGCTAGGACCCTACTGCCCTCTCCTCCTCCCATGCAGTCTGTGTGCCCACTCTGGAGTGCGCCTCGGGAGCTGACTCAGCTGGCTTTCGGATGGTCACTTCCCTCATAGTTTGCAAATCAAAGCCTATGTATGATGTTCTGTGATTCCTAGTTTTGTAGTGGCATGGATTGCGGGTAGTTTTCTTATCCTTGTTGATTTGTATTGTTTTATAGGATATATGGAGAAATTGGAATTTAGGCAGCTGGCATTCTGCAGGACTCTGTTCTTTGTTTTTTCTTGTATTTTATCTTTAAATTTTTTTTTTTAATTTGCATTTCTCTGATAATTAGTGATGTGGAACATCTTTTCATGTGTCTGTTGGCCATCTGTATTTCTGTTTTGGAGAACTGTCTGTTCAGTTCCTCTGCTCATTTTTTAATTGGGTTATTTGTTTTTTGTTTGTTGAGGCGTGTGAGCTCTTTATATATTCTGGACGTCAAGCCTTTATCGGATGTGTCATTTTCAAATATATTCTCCCATACTGTAGGGTTCCTTTTTGTTCTATTGATGGTGTCTTTCGCTGTACAGAAGCTTTTCAGCTTAATGTAGTCCCACTTGCTCATTTTTGCTGTTGTTTTCCTTGCCCGGGGAGATATGTTCAAGAAGAGATCACTCATGTTTATGTCTAAGAGGTTTTTGCCTATGTTTTTTTCCAAGAGTTTAATGGTTTCATGACTTACATTCAGGTCTTTGATCCATTTTGAGTTTACCTTTGTATATGGGGTTAGACAATGGTCCAGTTTCATTCTCCTACATGTAGCTGTCCAGTTTTGCCAGCACCATCTGTTGAAGAGACTGTCATTTTGCCATTGTATGTCCATGGCTCCTTTATCAAATATTAATTGACCATATATGTTTGGGTTAATTTCTGGGGTCTCTAATCTGTTCCACTGGTCTGTGGCTCTGTTCTTGTGCCAGTACCAAATTGTCTTGATTACTATGGCTTTGTAGTAGAGCTTGAAGTTGGGGAGTGAGATCCCCCCTACTTTATTCTTCTTTTTCAGGATTGCTTTGGCTATTCGGGGTCTTTGGTGTTTCCATATGAATTTTTGAATTATTTGTTCCAATTCATTGAAGAATGTTGCTGGTAATTTGAGAGGGATTGCATCAAATCTGTATATTGCTTTGGGCAGGATGGCCATTTTGACGATATTAATTCTTCCTAGCCATGAGCATGGGATGAGTTTCCATTTATTAGTGTCCCCTTTAATTTCTCTTAAGAGTGACTTGTAGTTTTCAGAGTATAAGTCTTTCACTTCTTTGGTTAGGTTTATTCCTAGGTATTTTATTCTTTTTGATGCAATGGTGAATGGAATTGTTTTCCTGATTTCTCTTTCTATTGATTCGTTGTTAGTGTATAGGAAAGCTACAGATTTCTGTGTGTTAATTTTGTATCCTGCAACTTTGCTGTATTCCGATATCAGTTCTAGTAGTTTTGGAGTGGAGTCTTTAGGGTTTTTTATGTAGAATATCATGTCATCTGCAAAGAGTGACAGTTTAACTTCTTTACCAATCTGGATTCCTTGTATTTCTTTGTTTTGTCTAATTGCCATGGCTAGGACCTACAGTACTATGTTAAATAACAGTGGGGAGAGTGGGCATCCCTGTCTTGTTCCCAATCTCAGAGGAAAAGCTTTGAGCTTCTCACTGTTCAGTATAATGTTGGCTGTGGGTTTATCATATATGGCCTTTATTATGTTGAGGTACTTGCCCTCTATACCCATTTTCTGAGAACTTTTATCATGAATGGATGTTGATTTTGTCAAATGCTTTTTCAACATCTGTGGAGATGATCATGTGGTTTTTGTCTTTCTTTTTGTTGATATGGTGGATGATGTTGATGGACTTTCGAATGTTGTACCATCCTTGCATCCCTGGGATGAATCCCACTTGGTCATGGTGTACGATCCTTTTGATGTATTTTTGAATTCGGTTTGCTAATAGTTTGTTGAGTATTTTTGCATCTACGTTCATCAGGGATATTGGTCTGTAATTTTCTTTTTTGGTGGGGTCTTTGCCTGGTTTTGGTATTAGGGTGATGTTGGCTTCATAGAATGAATTTGGGAGTATTCCCTCCTCTTCTATTTTTTGGAAAACTTTAAGGAGAATGGGTATTATGTCTTCTCTGTGTTTCTGATAAAATTCCAAGGTAAATCCGTCCTGCCCGGGGGTTTTGTTCTTTGGTAGTTTTTTGATTACCGTTTCAATTTCTTTGATCGTAATTGGTTTGTTTAACTTTTGTATTTCTTCCTTGGTCAGTCTTGGGAGGTTGTATTTTTCTAGGAAGTTGTCCATTTCTTCTAGGTTTTCCAGCTTGTTGGCATATAGCTTTTCATAGTAGATCTTTAAACTTTTTTAATATTAGTATTCCATTTTTTCTTCAAGTATTCTTTCTTATTCCTTGCTTGCCTCAGTTGTATCCTATTCTCATGTCAGGGATATAATATCCTCTCTGAGGACATTTATTATAGCTTTTAGAAAGTATTCTAGGGAAGATATTTATTACATCTTTTTAAAGAACATTCTTCTGTCCCCTGCATTGTCTCTCTTTCCTCCAATTGCTGCTGCTGTTTTCAGAATTTGCTTTGGAATCTCTTGTTCTTGTTAGTAGTTTTCCTGGAATACTTGGTGTCCTCTGGCTATTTGATCACATGTACTGGGGAGGTGACAAAGCTGACAGGTAGCCTTGGCCTGGGTAGGTATATGGACTCTTGGTTTTTATTACTGGCTGGTGAGCCAGCTTGTGCATTGAGGGGGCTTTGCCAGATGTCTTGTATTTAAAGGCTTTTCACTGGGCAAAATCAGTTTCTCCGCAGGTGAGTCCTTTTATATCCTTCTTGGAAGGGGTGAGGTAGGAGTTGGAATAAACCTATTTGTTCAAACTGAAGAGATGCAGCTCTCCGGGGGCCTGTGACACCCCTGTTGGTGTTTCTCTGTGTGCCCGCACTCTTGTCCTTGTAAGTCTGAAGCTTTTGGAGGGTTGAAAATGGTCTCTAGTCTCTAGTCCCTTGACTAGGCATCTGTATTTTTATTTTACTGGTCTTCTTAATCTTATAATTGTCCAGCCACTTTCCCAAGAGTTACTGAACTTTTCATTCACTGTTGCCTCATATATTTCCTTAAAATCTCTTTACTGGCAATTAGTGGTTTTAGGTGGGAGAAGAAATAGATGTATGTGGCCCTGTTTTTAACTTCTGACTACCTTAAATTCCAACTACCCTAAATACTGAAGCTTGGACACATTTCTGAACTCATTTAGATTAATTTCAGCCTATTTTTCTAATACTTAATAGAACAACATAAAATTTCAGTGTTTTCCAGGAAATTATATTTCTCAGTCCACTGCCAAAAAAGATTTCCAAGTTGTATTAAATTTTGGAATTTTGTCTTTGATCAATGAATCTAGGTTCAGTCTATGGCTGATGGTTCCACTGGCAGGATAAAGATGAGGATCTAGGCCTGTGGCCTCCAGTCTTGTCTTGGCTGCAGAGTGAAAACATGGAGCACTATTGAAAATAATATAAATGAGTGTAAGAGCCTGTAATTAAAGCAGCCCTAATAAAAAATAAGAAAAAAACAGAGTTACTTTATCTTGAATGCCAGGGTTTTTTAAAAAGCGTGTTTGTAAGTTTGAGAATTGCATGCAATATGAATGTACATATGTTGATCGTATTTGACACTTCGCAGCTCTGTTTTTTTCTTCCACTTGTTGATAGAACACCTCATTGAAAGCCCCCTGCTGATTTAATTAGCAAATGCCAATTAGAATTACAGCTGGTTGGATTTGGGTACAAGTGTGAAGCAGTTGATCTCTTGAGAATGAAAATGTTTTGCTTTCATACTCTCTAGAGAAAACATAGCTGATTTCATAATGCTGTGAAAATACATTCTTTGGTAACATATGCTATTAACTCTGCTTCCCTCTAGAATCATTCTCTCACCACTTTGTCGTTGCTAGTCTTGGCTTGTCATGACTTCTCCTTATCACTGATTCATGATCTTTGAAGATCACCCAATCTCTTTGAGCCTTTGTGTCCTTATCTGTAAAATGGTGCTGTTAATGTCTGTTTTACTCTTTTAAACAGTTGCAAAGATCAGATGTGATAATAGATATGAAAGTGCTCTGATAGCATAAAGTGCTCTTTAAGATTATACTGTGGTCATTATTGTTATTACTATAATTATTTTTTGCTGGCCTATTATCTCTTCATTCTTCTGTAGACACAGTAGTATACTAAAAAAAGAGCACACTGGGTTTTGAGTCAGAAAATCCTGCCACCTGCATTTATTAGCAGTGAGAATTAGGGAGTTCCTTAGTCTTTATCTGAGCTTGTTTTCCCTTTCTTAAGTGGGGTTAGTTTTACCAGGATTGTAGTAAAGCTCACGAGGATGCTTCATGGTATCTGTAAAGAATATTGTAAATCCAAGGCATTATTTTTATGATTCTTCATTTTCTTATAGATTTGCCACTTGCTCCTTTAATATTACAGAAAAGGAGGAAAGAGTTCACTATTTAAAAGTGTATTCAGAATAAAAAAGTATGTCTCAGTTGTCTTTTATTAGGTGATCTTAATGTAATATTTATTGCTGAGGAATATTGTGGAATAAATGAGTAATGAGTGATCCGATATTCTATAGGGTGCAAGTATCCAGCAGAGACTTGCAGACTAACTGGAAATGGGCCAGAGGGCTCCACCTATGCTCTCTCCTTTGAAAAGTAGATGTGTGAGGTTCCAAACTGATGTGGATTCCAAACCCATCAGTATCACTGGGATGAGAAACACAATGCCTTCATCACAAGCTAATCTTAGCCCATTTAGAATACAGTATTCTCTTGTTCTCCCTGGTTATTGCTTTGTATAGAATTAATCCATTTTTCTTTAGTACCTGACATTTTCTCTTTTTATCTTTTATGTTCTTAGAAAATCATATGTACTTATTTGAAGGTAAAGATTATTCTAAGGAGCCTAGTAAAGAAGACAGAGAATCATTTGAGCAACTGGCGAATCTTCAGAAAACCATTTTGGAGAGAACTGGTCAAGAGGGCCCGTTACTCCGAAATAAAGTCAGTGTAAGAACCATTAATTTATGTAAAACAAATTCTTCCAACTCTCATCCTAAGAGAACAAAAAATGCTGGGAGTGATTTATTAAGAAATAAGTATTTATTGAAATGTGAGTATAACTAATTGTCTCCTAGTATAAAAACTGTGTAAGAAGTTGGTGTAAAAAACATTACAAGGAAAGTGTCTTTTACCATTTAATTCCAGTGCAACCAACCCTGTCCATTTAAGCTACTCCTGTGGGATCTCCGTGTTACACCGGAAAACCATACCCTGTTGCTGCTAATCACACCCCTATGTCTAACAGAGGAAGGCAGTCATAAACAATATATATAATGTTCACAGTATTTGGTGCTTAAAATATGTGCTCATTAAATGCTAGCTGTCATTAAGATAATCATGTTGAAATATTCTATTTAAGAAAGAATTATATACATTGTAGTATGATTTTTGTTAAACTTAAAGTGGTATCCACCTTTAATTAAAAAGTTACTTTTCTAAAGTAACTTACTCCTAATGAAATTAATCAAAATGATATATTGTTGTAATAACCATGCCAGGGCTTTGGTTGAGTTTAAAGTACAATATCATGGTCACCATGCCCGTCAGATACGTGATATGAGCAGTCAATTGAAGTGTCTTGCCACCGTTTCCCACCACATAAGGTAGCATGAAAGTGTTAAGCATATTGCTTCCATACAGAGTATTTTAGGGATGAGTGAATCTCATGAATGAATAGGCAGCCCCCAGCCTTTCTGGGTAAGGTTCATGTTCTTCCTGCAGGTTCTCATCCCTGGTATGGTAGGAGGGCCAACCAAAAGGAAGCGGATTCTGAGCCCAGAAGAGCTGGAGGATAGAAGGAAGGAAAGAGAAGCAGCAGCAGCCAAGAGAAAGAGAGTAATAGAGGAGAAGAAGAGAAAGAAGGAAGAAGCGGAGCATAGGAGAAAGTATGTGTATTATTTAATTTTATTATTAGTTAAGCTGAGGGTCATAATTGGTAAAGAATCACTGTTGTATAGCAAGCCCATAGTTTAACATCATTTTAAAATTGAAGAAAACTTGTATAAAGCTGGTAGTTCCTACTAGTAATAGAGTAACCTTAAAGTTAGTTTACTTATCATTTAGTCTACTTAAGTGAGTGCCTAAGGCAGAAAAGATACATTCAGTGGAAGCAAGAAAATTCTAAGGTTTTATTGTAGCTGTTGAGCTGGTACCTTTTAGTCGTGTCCTTAAAGACAGAGGTGTTTGGTGGCTGCTTGTTACTGAAGTTCAGTCAGGAGGCCGTTAGGGTAATTGGTAATACTTGTTTATTCATAAATAGGCAGAAAATCTTGATGAGGGTGTTTCTAATTGCATTTCTGTTTGTGAATAGCAGTACAGAATGTGCTCCCAGGGAAATTGTGATAGGCCCAGTTAATTTCCTTTTCTCTCTGGCTTGTTGAAGGATGGCCTGGTGGGAGTCCCACAATTACCAGTCCTTCTGCCTGCCTTCTGAGGAGAGCAAACCAGACGGCCTGGAGGAGGGTGAAGATGAGAGTTCTGCCCAACTAGAGTACGAAGACCCGGACTTGACCTCCATCAAGTATGTGAGTGGCGATGTCACCCACCCACAGGCCGGGTCAGAGGATGCTGTCATCGTGCACTGCGTAGGTAGGAGAAGTGGCACAGGTCTGGAGTGGGCGCCTCCATCTTCATGGTGCCGAGAACTGGGGAGGATGAGGCAGAGCCCTGACCTACAGGTCCCTGATGTTCTCAGTTCAGTCTCACGTGGTAAAAAAATGTGTGAATTTTAGATTTGACTCTTGCCTCTCTTGTTTACCTGGTTGAGTAACCCAAGTTCTCTGGACCTCAGCTTCCTTATCCATTTAAAGGATATTATCTACCCTCTTCTCTGCTTGGGTTTTTAAGAGGGTGAAAGGGGGAAACATCTATAAGACAAATGAATCCCTTGAGAGAAAGCAAAACTCCAGTCATGTTCTCTCCCTTACCACCTCTGTACTTTAAACTTTCTTTCTCTTTCCCCATATAGCCACATTAAGCATTGTTCATATTCTGTGTCTCAGAGAGGTTGCCCCTGAGTGCTTCATATAAAACACACCCCATCTCCACACCTGTTATTCTCTATCCTTTCTCCCTACCTTATTTTACTTTATCACACATATGCCTGCCTGACAGTGTGTACTTTTGTACCTCTAGGGGGAAAATATGTTCCCAGCCCAGGGCAAATAACCTTTGAAGCCGAAATCAGTCAAAGGGAGAAATAAAGTGGGAGAAGCCTGTTTATTGATTACAAGCAGCTGTTCACTTCTGCCCCGTCCCCCCCACCCCCAACCCCCGTGTCTCTCTGTGATCCGGCTGCAAAAAGGTGCAAAAAGGGACCCCACCAAACCTCTCCAGTACAGATATAACCTCGCTCCCCCGACCCTTTTAGTCACCTATTGATATGGAGATAGCTACTTCTCTCCACCCCTTGGAAACACCTACTGATATGGAGATACACTAAGGCCAGGCAAGAGTTTCTGGAAATAATGCAATTTTACCCATAACTTGTTTGACTCTTATTGCACTAGGAAATTAGCTTCATGGGAGTAGGGATTTTTTTTTTTAGTCCACTGTTATAACCCTAGTGCATAGAATAATGCCCGACATATAATACATGCTAACAAAAATTTGTGGTATGATTGAATGAGTGAATGACCGTAAACAGAAGATACTAAGCAGCTATGTTAGTGCTAATTTGAATAAGTCATTTAACTTTTCCTCTTTGTTAACTATAAAATGGGAGTTTTGTGCTATTGTATTACCAGTATTTCAACTCTGTGTGTTGTTATATCTACTCTCTATTCTCAGTCATCTCCCAGGAAGTACAGAAGTGCCACAGTGATTTTGCTTTCAGAACACTAATTTTTTTAATGCTTCCCTGTTGTGATGACAGGTGTATTCTAGAAAACCGAAACATATTTGAGAAGCCCAACCTATGATATTCCTAGGAAATTAGATTGATTTTTTTAAAGGGAAGAAAAAAATTTTTTCTACAAGTATGTTTGGCATACCTTTGTTTTGTGGACTAGACTTTGTCTCCTATAGATAAAAATTTTCTCTTTCTTCTATCAGATGACTCTGGCCGCTGGGGCAGAGGTGGTTTATTCACAGCTCTGGACACACGATCTTCTGAGCCAAGAAAAATATATGAGCTGGCTGGGAAAATGAAAGGTAAGAACAAAACAGAGAGAAGGGTTAGGGTTGGAATAAGAGAGGAGAAGACACTTAGGACAGGTTGAAAAGTTCTGGTTGGAGTCTGAATTCTGTCTTCAATTATCTGGTTGTTATGTGACTTTGAGGTAGTCCCTCTCCTTCCCTGTGCCTGTTTTCTCATTTGCAATTTATATAATGCTTATCCACCTACCTCATGGGACTATAATGAGGGTTGTGAAGTGGAAGTATTTTGATAAATATCAGTTCCTACATGCATGTTAAAGTATTGGCATGAACTTCATTTCCTTGTTTACCCAGTTCACCCCATCTTCATAATAGAATAACTCATGGAAATGTCAAGGACCTGTGAAAGACAAATCAGACACACCATTAAAATGCTAACCAGAGCTCGGGTTGGGTGCTGAAGGTTATGTTATGAAGTTAGCACAGGTTAAGGTACTATATTCCTTGGAGACAAGTTTGGAGCTAGGGGACATTGGAAGGCTGGACATTATCTTCCCTTGGTGTACAGAAGGGCAAAGGGTACCTACTTTTATGTGCAGAAATCACAAAGTAGCAAAATTATTACTGTGGCTATTTCCTGGGGACTTGAGAGGTCAGAGGATCTTGTTCGATAGAGAAGGGCCCTTCAAATTTCTTAGAGATTGGTCTTCCTTAATTCTTTTGCCCAGTTCTCCAGGCTGGAAAGGGGTGTAAGGTGTTAGAGTGAATGTTCGCTACTGAAACAGGTTACTAAAAGAAGGGCTTAATATGTGTTAAAATTATTAACCCAGATCTAGATACTAATTGGACAGTTGGAAAAACAGAATTCAGGAGAGGTCAGAGCTAGACTGAGGAGTCCCTGTTTGGGAGGGACTTGTTTGAAATTGTGAGGAAGAGGTAGGATAGAGAAATGAGAGGGCAAGAGTACAATATGGACACCTCCACACAGGAGCAGAGGCAAGAACGGGAGACAGAGGAATTGTTGGATAAGTAAGAGAACCTCGAGAATGTAATATTTTGAGGAATAAGGGAGGGAAGGATGTCAAAAAGTAGTCTGCACTGTTGGATACTGACATGAGGATGAGAACTGGGGGAAAAGACCATTGGATTTGCCCCAGGGGCAGTCACATGATCTTGGAGCACTTTGGGGAAAATGAAGACTAAAGTTTGGTTGCACAGAGCTAAGAAAACAGATGGGAGTGTGCAATTTTCTCCGAAGAAGGACTGAAGTAGAGTAGAGAGCAGGGTAGATGAAAGTGTGGGCTAGAATTACCAGGGAGGGCTTCATGGAGGTGGTAAAAGTTATCTAGGGCCTAGAAAGAGCGGTTGAATTTAAGAGGTGGGGAGAAATATCAAGAGGATCTCTAACCAAGTCTCATTCTTCTGATATTTCCATGACTCCTACCCATTCCCAGTACAAGCTAATCAATGACCTAGGCAGGAATGTATTTAGGGGATGGTGCTCTAGGCTAGGTAGGCTAGAATAGAAGAGAGTTAGATTTTACAAAGAGATTTGGGCCGCATAATAGAATACCATATATGGCTTGTCCAAGGACATGCCATTCTAAGCAGGACCTTATCCCGTGTGTAGTGGCAAGTAATTTAGGAGATTTGAGTAGAGGAATGGCATAGCAGATCCATTAGTTTAGAATGATTTAAAATATTGGGGTGTGCAGGATGGATTGAAAGGACAAAAGGTTCAAATTGAAGTACTGAAGTATGTAAAGACAGTTATTTTAGCACATTTTTCTAGAGCATCAGTTTGATTTGGATGAGGTAGGAAAATGTACAAAGAGAAATACATGTATGTTGGAATGCAATACTTGAATCGTTTAAGACAAACTTAAGACTTCTAAAAGAACTTTCAGGTCATCATGCTCTCCACTTCCTGTTCTCCCAGATGCCCCAAATTGGTTTTGTATTCACTCTGCAATGAATGCCAGATACTTTGTAAGTACCATTTATGGGGCACTGAATTTGGAGATCCTAAAAATTCAGAATATCAGCCACATGGCAGTATAAGATGTTCCCTCTTTAAATTAATGAATTTAGACATCCATACACAAACAAAACCACCTTGGTGGTCCTGTTGGAACCTAGCACCTTACTCCAGGGGGCCCAAGAGGAGTCTTGCCTACCAGCACAGGTGGTAAGAGACAGACAAAATCTCCGTGTGGGCTGTGGAGCCAGTGAAAGAGCCTTTACCTCAGATGAGGGCTGATCCAGGAAGGTCCTCACACACTTGCAGAAGCCCAGACAACTTGCAGAAGCCCAGCTTGCGGAAGCCCAGACAACTTGCAGAAGCCCAGCCTTCCCAAAGGCAGACTGCAGCACACCATTGGAGGAAAAAAAAAATACAAATTTGGTTACAGTGGAGATGGTAAGAGAAACTTTACCAGTACTGCCCAATGACACACTGACTGGGGCTGATTTGTCTCACGGAAGTGACTTCTCCCACAGGGAAAAGGAAAAGCATGAGTTCACAGCTGTTATAGGCAGATGGGATACAGCACACTAAGGTGGGAGCTCTGTGACATGGGGAGGAAGGATGCTGAGAAAGAGGCAGATTACAATTTCAAATGGTGTGAGACGGATTGGGCTCCACAGGAAGTTCACCCAGGAGCCCCAGGGATATCCCTACTGGGTTGTGGGCACCCCCAAATGCACTGAGTGCTAAACCCACAATTCTCCTGACTCTGCTTCTAGCTCCTTGTGTGGGTACCCAAGTGTGTCTCTGGAGGTAGTCTCTGGTAGACAGGGAGCTCACTTAGAAAACAAGCCATAGATGGCTGGCAAGGAAAACCCACAAACTTGAATTATAGCACCAACTTCTGGAGAGCAAAAAAGAGGTTTCCAAAAACCTCTCTGATGAATTTAAGAAGCAGAGAAGCCACTAAAGCTTGAAAATTTGGCCTACAAGAAAGAACAAAAGAGTGGAACAGGTACATGTCACAAAGGAAAAACTCAGATAATAACAATGCCATAGAACAGCACCCTGTCTGCTGAAAGCAAGGAGCACAAAATTTAAGTATTTGCTACTTCAAATGCTAAAGCACCAGTGCCTAACTATGAGGAATATGAAAAATCAAGGAAGTATGGCATCACAAAAAGAAAATGGCCATTCTCCAGCAACTGAGCTCAAAGGCACAAAATATTACAATCTAAATGATAGATAATTCAGAATAGTGGTTGGTTATAAAGAAACTCAGTGAGTTATAAGAAAACTCAGAATTCATTGAAAGGAGGAATAAAACATATAGACAAAATTAGTTATTTTCCAAAGAGATTGAAATTACAAAAAAGATTCAAAATCTGGAGCTTAAGAATTTGATGAATGAGATGAAGAATGTAAGATGAAGCATCTGCAGCAGGGCGGACCATATGGAAGAAAAAACAAGTGACTTGGAAGATAGGAATTTTAACGCAGAAGAGACAAAATAATAGAGATTTAAAAAGAGTGATGAAAGCCCCTGTGAGTTATGGGATTCCATCAAAAAAGACAAAAATCAGAATAAGCTAGCTTCCAGAAGGAGAAGAAAGGGAGAGGTAGGCAGAGAGTTTATTTAAAGAAGTGTTAGCTAAGAACTTCTTAAACCTGAGGAAAGTCTTGGACATAAAAGTCCATGAAACTAACACATCACCCTATATTCTCAATGCAAAAATACCTTCCCAAGATACACTATAATGAAACTATTAAAAATTAATGATAAATTTTAAAGGCAGACAGGAAAAAAAGAACATTACCTACAAAGGAACCTCCATTAGTCTGTCAGCAGATTTCTCAGCAGAAATTCTACAGGCGAAGAGAAAGTTAAATGATATATTCAAAGTGTTGAAAGATAGAAATTGCCAACCAAGGATATTATACCTGGCAAAGTTATTCTTCAGATATGAGGGAGAAATAGAGGTGTTCTCAGACAGACAAAAGCTGAGGGAGTTCCCCACCACTAGACCTGCCTTTCAAGATGCTGAATGGAGTTCTTCAGGTTGACATGAAAAGATACTAATCAACAGCATGAAAACATGAAAGTACACTTATGGTATAGTTGAGTGGTTAATGCATCACACTAATGTAGGGTTACAGTTTCCTAAGTCTATTTTTCACCACGTGTATAAGGAAACTATACACGTGGACCAACTGTTATACTAAATGAACAGCATAGACATCTTTAGAGCATTCCTTCCAACAGCAACAGAATGCACATTCTTCTCAAGTCCATATGGAACATCCTCAAGGATATATCATATGATAGAGCACAAGTCATAGCAAAATAAGACTGAAATCACACCCATACCAAGTATATTTTCCAACAACAGTGGTATGAAACTAGAAATCAACAAATGAGGAAAGGTAGAAAATCTACAAATACTTAGAAACTAAACAGCACACAGCACACTCCTGAATAACCAGGAGGTAAAGACGAACTTGAAAGGACAACCAAAGAATATCTCAAAACAAATTAAAATGGAAATACAACATACCAGACCTTGAGGGATACTGCAAAAAGCAGTTCTGAGAGGGAAATTTATCGTGACAAATGCATATATTAAGAAATTAGAAAGATCTCAAATAAACAACCTAACTTTATACCTCAAGAATTAGGAAAAGAAGAGCAAATTAAGCCCAAAGTTAGCAGAAGGAGGGAGATAAAGATTAGAGGTGAAATAAATGAAATTAGAGACTAATAAAACAACAGAAAAGATCAATGAAACTAAGAGCTGGTTTTTTGAAATAATAAAATTAACAAACCTTTAGCAAGACTAAGAAAAAAGAAGACTTGAATAAAATCAGAAATGGAAGATGAGAAAACCGATACTAGAAAAATACATAGGATCATGAGAGACTGCTTTGAACAGTTACCAACAAATTAAAATAGAAGAAATGGATAAATTCATAGAATCATACAACCCACCAAGACTGAACCAGGAAGAAACAGAAAGTCAGAACAGACAATAACAAGTGAAGAAATTGGCTCAGTAATTAAAAACCTCCCAACACAGGACCAAATGGTTTCATGGGAGAATCCTACCAAACATTTAAAGAAAAATTACTACAAAACTTTCTCAAACTCTTCCAAAAATATTGAACATTTTCAAATGCATTCTATGAGGCCATTATGATGCTGATACTAAAGCTAGATAAGGATATGAAAAGAAAAGAACTATAGGCAGATATCCCTGATGAAAACATCTTCAAAAAATTCACAAAATGTATTAGCAAACTGAATTGAAGAACTCATTAAAAGGATTCAACACTGTGACCAAGTGAGATTTCTCCCTGCAGTGCAGGTATGGTTCAATGTATGCAAATCAACAAATGTGATATACTGCATTAATAGGATGAAAGAAAAACCATATGATCCTCAGAAGACATGCAGAAAAAGCATTGACAAAATACAACACTCTTTCATGATAAAAACCTCAGCAGAATAAGTATAGGAGAAACGTACCTCAATATAATATAAACCATATATGGTACCCATAGCTAATATAATGTATTCAACAGAGAAAAATTGAAAGCTTTTCCTCTTAGACCAAGACAGTGGCACCTACTCTCACCACTCTTATTCTAATTAGTACTGGAAGTCCTAGCTAGAGCAATCAGGCAAGACAAATTATGAGGTATCCAAATTGGAAAGGAAGAAGTAAAATTGTCATTATTTGTAGGTGATAAGATCTTATATATTTTAAATTCTAAATTCTCAACTAAAAAACAATTGGATCTAATCAATTTTTTTCAGTAAAGTTGTATAATATAAAATCAATACACAGAAATCAGTTGCTTTTCTATACACTAGCAATGAAACATCTGAAAAAGAAACAGCTATCCCATTAAGAATAATATCAAACACAGTAAAATACCTAGGAATAAATTTAACCAAGGAAATAAAAGCTCTAGAAATGAAAATGATGACTTTGTTGAAAGGAATTGAAGAAGACAAACAATTGACAGGACATCCTGTGTTCATGGATTGGAAGAGTTAATATTGTAAAATGTCTGTGCTACCCAAAGCCATCTATAGAGTCAACACAATCCCTGTTAAAATTCTAATGGCATTTTTACAGAAATATAAAAAAATCATGAAATTTGCAGGGAACCATGAATTTTGTAAGGGAAGACCCCAAAAATAGCCAGGGCAATCCTGAGAAAGAAGAACAAAGCTAGAGGTATCAATCACACTTCCTGATTTAAAATCCCACCACAAAGCCATAGTAATTAAAACAGTATGGCACTGGCATAAAAATTAACACATTAACTAGTGAAACAAATTAGAAAGCCTGGAACTAAACCTCTGCATTAATGGACAAGTAATAACTGACAAGGGAGCTAAGAACACTCCGTGGGGAAAGGATAGTCTCTTCAACAAATGGTTCTGGGAAAACTATAACCACATGCAGAAAAATGAAGTTGGATCCCTAACTTACACCAGTCACAAAAACTAACTCAAAGTGGATCAAAAGCTTAAAAATAAGTCCTGATCCCATAGACTCCTAGAAGAAAACATAGGAAAGAAGAAGCTCCTTGAAATTGGCCTTGGCAGTAATTTTTTAGATATGTCACCAAAAGCACAAACAACAAAGAAAAAATCAAGTGGGACATCAGACTTAAAAGCTTCTGCCCTGCAGGAGAAAAAATCAGCTAAATGAAAAGGCATCCTAGGGAAGGGGAGGGAATATTTGTGAACTATATACATATCAGATAAGGGATTAATATCCAAAATTTATAAAGAAGTCACACAACTCAGTAACAAACAAAAAACCAATCTGATTTAAAAATGAACAGAGGAACTGAGTAGACATTTTTTTCAAAGAAGACATACAGATAGCTAACATGATTCCCTGATCATTATGGAAATGCAAATCAAAACTATAGTGGGATACCACCTTACATTTGTTAGAATGGCTATCCTCAGAAGACAAGATACAAATGTTGGTGAGGATGTGGAGAAAGGAAATCCTTGTGCACTGTTGGGTTAGATTGTAAACTGGTCCAGCCACTGTGGACTACAGTATAGAGGTTCCTCAAAAAATTAAAAATAGAACTACCATACCACCCAACAATTCCATCTCTTAGTATATATCCAAAGAAAATGAAAGCAAGTTATTGAAGAAATATCTGCAGTTTCATGTTGAGTTCAACATTATTCACAATTGCCAAGGTATAGAAACAACCTGAGTGTCTTGTCAGCAAGTGAATGGATTAAGAAGATACGCACACACACACAATGGAAACTATTCAGCCATGAGAGAAAAAGAAATCCTGCCATTTGTGACAACATGGCTGTATCTTGAGGACAGGATAATTCACAAAGATAAACAAATACTGTATGAACATCTTGTATGTGGAATCTAAAAAAAACTGAACTCAAGAAAACAAATGCTTATTATCAGGGGTGGAGGGGTGGGTGGGAGGGATGTTGTTTAAGGGTACATACCAGCAACTAGTAGGTAAATACATCCTGGAGGTCTAGTACACAGCACAGAGACTACAAAATATTATAAGCCTTAAAACTGCCAAGAGACTAGATCTTAATTGTTCCCACCACTGGACGAAATGACAGTTTTGTGAGGTAAGTGAGGTGTTAGCTATTGCTACAGTGGCAGTTGTATTCAGTGTGAATGCATCATATGAATATGTTGCACAACTTAAATTTATACAATGTTATATGTTAATTATATCTCAATAAAAAAAATAGAAAATAGCGAGTGTTGGAGAGGATGTGGAGAAACTGGAACACTTGGGTACTAAGGGGGAATGTGAAATGTACAGACACTATGGAAAACATACAGAGATTCCTCAGAAAATTAAAAATAAAATTACCATATAATCCAGCAGTCCCACTTACGGGTATACACCCAAAAGAATTGAAAACAGGGACCCAAACGAGTATTTGTACACCCATGTTCATAGCAGCACTATTCACAATGGCCAAAGGTGGAAGCAATGCAAGTGACAGATGAATGGATAAACAAAATGGGGTATATGCAGACAATTGAATATATTCAGCCTTCAAGTAAGGAAATCCTGACACATTCTACAACATGTATGAACCTTGATGACATGATGCTAACTGAAATAAGCCAGTCACAAAAGGACAAGTATTGCATGATATCCACTTATATGAAGTAACTACAGTAGTCAAATTCATAGAGACAGAAAGTAGAATAGTGGTTATAGGGTAATGGGGAGATGTTGTTTAATGGATATAGTGTTTCAGTTTTTGCAAGGTGAAAAGATTAATTTCACAATAATGTGAATGTACTTAACACTAATGTACACTTAAAAATGGTTAAGTTTTTTGAGTGAAAAAAATGAGCAAATAAAGTAACTGGCTAAGGCAGTGACTGATGCCAGGAGAGTGAGAAAAGGTGGATTAAACATGATGATGTAGAAAAGGTGAAGTATGAGGAGAATTCAGAATAGCCCTTCTTCAGGGCTTCAGTGTGTAGTGACTTGATGTTCATTCTGTTGTTCCTTTTTATTTTACCTCAGACTTGACTTTGGGAGGTGTCCTTTTATTTCCTATTGATGATAAAGAGTCAAGAAGCAAAGGGCAAGATTTGGTAAGTGAAAAAAAAACAAATCACATATCTTACCAGAACTTAAATGTGGCTCACATCACCTCCTCTAAAAACCTCTCATGTTGGTGCTGGCCTGTCTAGCAGTGTATTAGTCAGCTCAGGCTGCCAGTACAAAATACCAAAGACTGGGTGGCTTAAAACACAGAAATTAATTTTCTCACAGTTCTGGAGGCTACATGTCCAAGGTGAAGGTGCTGGCCTGTAGGTTTCACCAGAAGCCTCTCTTTGGCTTGCAGGTGGTCTTTCCCCTGTATGCATGCATCCCTGGTACCTTTCTGTGTATCCACATTTTTTATTATTATAAGAGCACCAATCAGACTGGATTAGGCCCTACCCTAAATTACTCTTTTTTTTTTGGTATCATTAATCTACAATTACATGAGGAACATTATGTTTACTAGACTCCCCCCATCATCAAGTTCCCCCCACATACCCCATTATAGTCACTGTCCATCAGTGTAGTAAGATGCTATAGAATCACTACTTCTCTTCTCTGTGTTGTACAGCTCTCCCCATGCCCCCCCACATTATACATATTGATCATAGTGCCCCCTTTCTTCTTCCCTTTCCCCCCATATGCCTCCCTTCCCACCCATCCTCCCCAGTCCCTTTCCCTTTGGTAACTGTTAGTCCATTCTTGGGTTCTGTGATTTTGCTGCTGTTCTGTTCCTTCAGTTTTTGCTTTGTTCTTATGCTCCACAGATGAGTGAAATCATTTGATACTTGTCTTTCTCTGCCTGGCTTATTTTACTGAGCATACTACCCTCTAGCTCCATCCATGTTGTTGCAAATGCTGGGATTTGTTTTCTTCTTATGGCTGAATAATATTCCATTGTGTATATGTACCACATCTTCTTTATCCATTCATCTACTGATGGACACTTAGGTT